GATCTCCTTTCGTAGAAGAATGTTTATTTAATGAGCTTTATGATTGCGCAAATAATGAACAGCGTGATACTATTGATAAAGTTATTCGTGAAGTTCAGTATTACGATACAGGATCAAATGTGTTTTGTTTGACATCCCATGCAGGTTGTGGGAAAACATTCACACAAACGGCTATAATTCGTAAATTAAATTCCCTTAATCTTCGCTGTATTTCGTGTGCATTTAGTGGTATTGCTGCGAGTCAAAGCAATGCATAATAACACAATAGATTGTGAAGTACTCACTGGAGTTGCTCGCGGAAAACGTGTTTTGATTCCACGCATACACTTGACGTATTCAGGGACTGCACTGCCATTTAATTTTCAAAGAACACAGTTTCCACAGTCATCAGCGCATTTGCTATGACAATTAACAAATCCCAAGGACAGACATTTGATAGAGTTGGAATATTGTTGAGGAGACCTGTTTTTTCGCATGGTCAACTTTACGTTGCAGCCAGTTGAGTTAGATCATTTGACGGACTTAAATTTTATGTCAGTAATGAAGGTGGACAAGGTCATTTGGCTAATGATGAAAGGGTTTTTACAAAAAATATTGTTTACACTGAAGTTTTGAGAACTTCGTGATATAAAATATAGAATTATTATTATGCATTATTATCATTTTAGATTTCATTCAGTTTGAATGTTTTTCAATATTTAATTTTTTTCATTCGTTCATTTGCCAATTTCATTTCTTTGTTTCTTGCCTTCACTGCATACCGCGATTTGATTTCGTGATGGCAGAGTATAGGAATTTGTTTGATAATTAACACGGGAGCGAGATGTTGTGCAAAGTCGCATTGTCGAAATTATGCAATAAATTGACGCAATAAATTGCGTCAGAATTTCGAATTTCTTTAGAAGAAGGTGCTGTTCTACAAAATTGCTGATTCCTATACTGATAACTTTCCGATATCACCTGAAGAACAAATGTACGGAGCAGATGTTAAGATAATTTATTTGTTAAAAAGATTTCAAAATGGAGCATCAGTTCGAAATTTTATCGGTATTTCATTCAAACAATTCATCATATTTCATATTTCATACTAATTATTTTCTTTTTTCGCAGGTGCATATGTGGTCACATATGACGACAAATTTAAATTAAACGATTTGATTGGATTGATAATACAAGGAAGAATTAAGCCAAAACCAGAAACACAACAAATAATTTTGCACGAGATGAAATTATAAATTTTAATTTATTTTTTAAATTGTTTTCTACAACTTTCTTTAGATTTTGTTCATATTTTAATCAAATTCATCAATAAAATTTAAATACTATTAAAATAAATGAATTGTATTTTCTATTGGTCGAATTTCGACCACTGGCGACCCTAGTAATAAATATTACATCCATAAACCACACCAAAAAAGCCCCTCACATCCTATAAAGAAGGGAAAAATCCATAAAAACTTAACACAGAATAAAATATAGCAATAGTTGAACACAGAATTAAGAAAAATAAGCAAACATAAAATTGCGCTCGTCTCTACCCCCTGGGTGGATACATACAAGAAAACCTTTTTCTTCTTTAACTTAAAAAATAAATTGGAATTTAACCTTCTACTTATATTTTTCGGGAAAACTAAGTTATACAAATTAATATAACATATCAAACTGTATTACTTTAATCTTTTGAACACCTAATTCTTGATTTAAAAAAACACCAAATCTCAAGTTCAAGTAAGAACCCAATTAATGAACTTACTTATAAATATTTTAACATACCCTAAACGTAGATCATATATAAAAAATGTCCATAAGCATAATAAAGTTAGGTCATTTCGTAGATATAGCAGAGGTTATGAGGATCATCATATTAGACATGTGTAGCATCATAAACAAAATATTTTGTATTTGATAAGATAGTAATGTAAATTAAGATAAGTATATTTGATAAAGTTTTTAAATAAATATTAAATAAAGGGTTTTTGATATTAAAATAATAGACCATCATCAGCTTAACTAAGAAATAAGGTTATGTATGTGACATGGCAGAGCGGAGCTCCTTGCCCCAGAAACAGTCTCTGGGTGTTTATTTGAAGACGAAGTTTTTTACGGCTATCTTTTATACAAAGAAAGTCTTAAACAATGTAAGGGTAACAATGCTAGTACCCACTTAAAAAAACATTAAAATTGATTTGACGAGGGAGTTTTTTACATGTATACAGAAGTCTAAATTTGATGTATCCTTAATTTTGAATAATAGTACAAAAAACAAATTAAAAATCCATCAAAAGTTAACTGCTAATAGGTTAAGTATTACAAACGCAATACGTTGCACCAGGAACAGTGAATTACTGTTACCTGAAGACGTTTGTTTAGGCTTGTCATGATGAGAAGGGCTTGGGTGGATTCCTGGGTCAATCTCGTGAAGTCATGAGAAGTTTAAACGGATGTAAAGGTAACAATGCAAGTACCTAAAAACAAAAAAATTTACATTCAAACCATAACAAGAAAACGTAGCCCGAAACCAGAAAATACTTACAATGCAATATCGACAAAAACTCGAAAAATAGAAAATATTTCGACAGCGAATCGTTTTGCCGTTCTAGCCGAAGATGATAAAAATATCAGACCCGCCCCTACCCAGAAACCGCCACCCATATTTCTGCATGAAAAAAATTCAAACGCTCTTATATACTCCCTAACACAAAGTATTGGCAAAGATTCATTCCATGTTGTGCCTCTTCGTAAAGGAAATGTCGATGAAACAAAAATCTCGATCAACGAAGAAAAACATTACAGAGCAGTTGTAAACAACTTCGAAAAAAATGGAAAAAATTTTTACACCTATCAATTAAAAAGTGCCAAAGGATTAACAGTGGTTATAAGAGGAATAGCACCAGATTTGTACACAGCAGAAATTAAAGAAGCACTTGCAGAAAAAGGATTTAAAACAAAATCTGTGTACAACATTAAAAACCGCGATAAAGTTTCGACACCGCTATATAAAATAAAGCTTGAACCAGAAGGAAAGAAACTCAAATCGAACAAGGCTCACCCAATTTAATTCCTACAATTCCTACTCCACAGAAAAATATTAGTAGAAGAACCACACAAGCGTAAAAACCCGGTGCAGTGTACTAATTGTCAGGAATATGGACATTCGAAGTCCTATTGCACACTCCACAGTGTTTGTGTTGCATGTGGCTAGTGCAAGAACAGGTATTTTGTAACCAAATATTTTAACAAACCACGAAATAGCTAAATATGAATTGACTTGAAGAAATTACTACATATCAAGACAGGGGTTGCCATTACCAAAAATGATAATATAATTTTCGCAATAAAAATTCCAATAGAAACAATAAATGTCAATAAAAAATTATTCAAAGACAAATAATTTTTTCAATAGGACGATTCTTTCCAAGACTAGAGAAGCTGGTCGACATAAAAGGAATGACTATTATACAAATGGCACTGTTGAATGTTTTATATTTTTTGCTTTGTTTAATTTGCTTTCCTTTAAAGTAGTTAAAATAACGCGCGAGCTGCTCATTTTTTATTGTCAATATGCAACCCAATGTTGACTTTCGTCAACCTTGCATATATACGGTACTTCAAAATATAAAAACAATATAATTTTACAGTTTTTTGGCTTCACGATTGAACTAGCATTCTCGATCGCTCTCTTGCATTTCAAGTTCCAAATGAACAGCACGCGTTTTATTTTCGATTCTCAATTACATTTCGAAGTGATTTGTTAAAATTTAATTTCTTAAATTAAGTGTAAAGTAATTTGAATAAAATACTTTCGTTGTAACTTTCGTTTTTTATAACTTCAATAAATACAAAAACTCTTGTATTTTTTCATTGGCGCCCGAGCAGGGACTTGAAATCAAGTAGTAAATAATTTAAAAAAAAAAAAGTGAAATTTAGTGAACATTGTTCGGTGGAGCTGCAATTGGCAGCATCGTGATTTTCGTTCAGTTTAATTTTTCATTTTCCACGTGTGAAGTGGTTGCGGTAAATGTCGGTGTGGTGTCAAGTATCAGCACCAGACAAAAATCGTTAATAATAATAAAAAAAAAAAAAAAATCAACAAATTGCCAATTTCATCTATTCTGATGAAAACACGTGCAGGCTGCTGCTATTGGTTTTTTATTGCTTAATTATCATTGCTACTGTTGGCCGCTGCTACAGTAGTTTCCTGCTCAATTCTTATTGCTGCTGTTGGCCGCTGCTACTGGAGTTTCCTGCTCAATTCTTATTGCTGCTGTTGGCCGCTGCTACTGCAGTTACTGCCATTAATTCCACATTGCTGCTACTGGCCGCTGCTACTGCAGACTGCTACTGCATTTCGCTGGTGCTGTTCGCTGTCACTGCAGATCGATACTGCTCTTCATTGCTGCTGCTATTCACCACTGCTGCTGTTTCTTTCTCTTTCTGGATGGAGTGCAACTGTAACACCACTGCCCTTTGTCAGGTAAGAAAGTGCAAGTAATGATATAGTTGTACTAGGTCATGCTCTGACTAAACAAAATAGTCAAGGAAAGTATTTCAAATAACTTTTGCACTGGTAATTATTTGCACTTTTAAAATACATATATTTATATTTATCCATATCTATAATAAATAATTTGACGTGAAACAAATTTACCAAGCTGAGGTTGAGCTTCATTAAACATATACGTTCGGTAAATCCAATTATTTAATACAAATAATTGAGTAATTTGCAGGGGCAAATTATATACAAAGTGAATGCATTTTTCGTTTTCGTTTTCGCTAGTTACTTGCAACCACTTTGTTGGAATTTATCCATAATAACAATATTTGACTATTTATCGTTTTTTATTATCGTATAAACAAAGTAAGTGTATCTTTCGTATCTCTAATTTCTCGCGTTCACTTTGTTGGAATTTACTTACAACCGTCGCTCAACAATATTCAAATATTCTTATCGTTCTTTGCGCTGCATTGCCTTCTCTCTTCGAAATTTTAGTAAATTCACTATGTCAACGAAAAAGCGACCACCATTCCCACAAAAAAATGAAGATTTGGATAAACTAATCCAGCAGCGAGAAACTGTAGTGGCCAGTATCCTGCGTATTAAAGAAGTAATATTGGAGAAAACTTTTGATTTAAATCCTGTAGAACTGGACTGTAGGTTGGACATTCTCAATTCACATATTAAACAGGCCATGACTTGCCAGCAAAAAATAGAATGTATCAAGGAGTTTGATGTACTTCGACCAGATCTAGAAGAAATCTATGTTGCTTCAAAATCATTGTTCTTACAGGCGTTAGGTAAAAACCTCAAGTCTAGTATCCCTGATACTTCGCATGAATGCAGCAATCATCGTTCCAGGGTGCCAAATATGCGTTTACCTAAATTCAGCGGGAAACATTCTGAATACAAAAACTTCATAAGCCTTTTTGAAAGCTTAGTGCACAATGATCAGTCGCTAAGTGATATTGAAAAATTCAATCATCTCATTTCGTGTTTGTCTGACGAAGCGCTTGGTACAGTTAAGGCATTTCAACTCACTGAAACAAATTACTCAAAGGCATTAGCTAGTTTAAAAAGAGTTTACGATAACACTTGTCTAATCTTTTTCGATAGTATCTCGCAGCTTTTTGAACTGCCAGAAATGAACAAGCCATCTGCTTCTGCATTACGCAATATCATAGATACTGTTTCTGCCATATATGAGTCCCTATTGTCAATAGGAGATGATAAGAACATTTCAAATGCGATTCTTATTCATTTAGTCATGTCAAGAGTCGATGCCGCTACGAAATCCAAATGGGAGGAGCAATTAGATTACAACAAGCTGCCACTCTGGTCTGATTGCGAGACTGCGTTAAATAAGTGATATCAACACATTTCTGCTGACGAAGCTTCCACGTCAAGGTCTCGATCGAACACGCCAAAACAGGACAACTGGCAAAGTAAGAATGTAAAATCTTCACTTATGTGCAAAAAAAATAGTTCGCAAGAGGAAAGTAGATGTTTGTTCTGTAATTCGAAAGAACATATAATAAATTCAAGCTCCGCTTTTGCTGCTCTATCATTTTCTGAACGGTTTACGTTCATTAAATCGTCTTCGCATAAACTGTTTAAAAAAGGGCATACTGTGTCAAAATGTAAGGCATCACGTTGCATTGACGTGGCATTGATAAGGTAAATTCCACAGTGAATCACAGACTGCATGCTACTGTGAGATCCCGCATCAATTCTCATAATTTCTCGACGGATTTTTGGATAATGCATTCAATATCCACTATAACATTTAACAATACTATAGATTTCATTCAATTTTTCAATAACCTTTTTGATATATTTAATTCTAGCAACATTACAGGACCTAATTTGAAAGCAGGATTCTGTGGCTCAGTTGAGCAAATTTAATTTCTTAAAAATGCATAAAGTTTACTTAAGTCTCTGAAAATTGAAGATAGTGGTGGCAAAAATATTAAGCCTACATTTTCTTTTATTAATGGCTGGCTTCTTAATATAAATAGCCTCTTGGTAATGTGGCAATTTCTTTCCACAAAAGGTTTTCAAGTTTTATTGACCAGAAAACTTTGCCAAGATCGGTTAGAATATTTTTTTGGTGATATTAGAAGAGGAGGTGGTAATTGCACAAGAATAACACCTTATATGTTTTCGTGCCTCTTTCAAAAAAAAATGGTGCTTGCAATATGTTAACATTGTTAACGGTAATTGCGAATATTTCCCTTACTTTGATTGCCCTAATATTAACTTGCCATCCAGTTCGTCACCAACAAACTTAGAAGACCCTTTCCTGTCAACTTCATGAACAGATAAACTTGTTTTAGATACTTCCTGGTAAGATGTAGACCAAAATAAAGCTCAGAACGCATTTCTTAATAATTGCCATTTTAATATAGATGTAGACCTTAAAATATTTTTAAATCGTAATGCTTTCTCTTATATATGTGGATGGCTTTTTTTAAAAATGTAAATTAATCATAATCGTCTGTCGACTTTCCCAAAATTGCCATTTAGTTCAACCACCTCCTCCTTTTACTACATATATTGAAAAATTAGAATCACAATTTTCGGATCAGTTCGATAGCAATTGCTATAAATTAGGTGTTAAGACCAATTTACCAATTTATTTATTTTGATTTATTTACACAGTTTATATATAAATAGTGAAATTTTTTAAAGTGAGCGGACGTGTTTTCAAGTCGGTCACCGAAACAGTTAAAATTCACAGTCTTAAAACTATTTATATTAAATATCTTTGTATAAACCAAAAGTGCAAAGTGCATAAAATTATTAATTTGAAAATAGCGCGCGCTTTTTCGAATTTTTTGTTTATTTTCTTTTTGCATTACTTAATCTTAAATGCTTAAATAGCTGACAGAGACAGCAGATCAACATTTAAAGTTAAAAATAATATAAAAAAGTTTGAGAAACTAAATATACCAATGCGCTTTTGTGCATATATAAACACAACACTGCACAACACAATTCAGTTGGATATATTGTAATTTTTATTTTATTTAATTTATTAATCACCATTATAATTGTTTATTGCAATTGCAATTGTATTTTCGCAAAATAAACAAAAACAAAAATTTGTGTTTTGTCAAAAACAGCTGATAGAGACAGCATATGCTTTCTTAACGAAAGTAATAAATTGTAAATGTGGTGTTGCCACAGTGCATGTTTTTAATTATTTTATGAAACGTATTTAAACTTTAATAATTTTATTTAAAAATTTAAAACTTAAATAATTAAAAATAATCATAAAAACATACTTTAATTATATTGTAAAACAAGTGTATGAATAATAGTGCTACACGGCGACACTCTCAAATCAGTGAAAATGGCCTAAACAGCTATGTAATGCTTACTTCAGATGACATTAAAACTTTGTGCTTTTAACCACAGCTTTTCGTGCTTTAATGTTTGTGTTTTGCATGTTTTGTTCTTCGCCGCGGTTTTTTTCTTATGTTTGACGCAGTCCGTAATTTTCGGGTTTTAAAAATTTAAATATAGAAATTTAAATATTTAATCAATATATAAGTGCATAGTAAGAAAATTAGTGCAAGTATCTTATTATTTTGTGGATTTGGTATATATAGAAAAAAATAAATCAACCAAAGAATTTAAAACAGAAGTGTGCTTGATGTGTAATATTTTTATGTTTTATTGTTTGTGTTGTAAAAAAAAATGTAAACAATGTGTGTTTGGTTTTATTTCATTTCAATTCAGTTTATTCAGTAAATAAATAAAAAAAATGTGTTTTTATTGTTTCATAAATATTCAAATGTATGTTTTTGTGTTATAATTTGTAAAAATTTGTTTCGTTATTTCTTAATATATTTCAAGTTCATTTGTTGTTTTTTTTTTTTTTTATATGTTTTTCCTCAGTTTACTTGTCGGCTGTGCCCGCTGCTCATTGTCGTTTGGATCACAGGTAATGTCGTCCTATTATATTTTGTTAAAAAAATAAAATAGATTTTACTCTTCCTAGGTTGAATGTTGGACTTGTTTGGGTGAGTGATTCTTTTGGTGTATTCCTGCAATGGTGTTGGTGTGATATTTTGTGCTGACGGTCTGACGTCAGATTTGCACAAAATATTTATATATGAATATGTATGGTTGAAATTGCTTTATGGAAATTTCAGCCTTTACAATAAGAACACTCTGAATTCTTATAAATAAATATCAGGCAGTCCGTAAGGAACGCCGAAAGTATCGACTGAATACTCATATGGTAAACTTCGCTTTCTTATTTTTATTCAATCATATATACTTTCATCCATTCTGATGAGTCTGATTGGTTACCAGACGAAACGCGTAAATGGAAACTATTGAGTGACTTTTTCATTGGTTCCTTAACCAATTTACTTTTAGTTATATACTACGAATTTATTTCAAAAGAGCACAAGAAAATTAACTGTAGAAGTGAAACTAAGTGCTCTCAGTGCAACAAATTTGGATATATATCAAAAGATTGCACAAGTTTGAAGAATAAGTATATGTCGGAAAAAATGTAAATTTCGTTGTATAGAACGATCGATTTAAAAATTATGTTCAATGATATGGAATTAAATTGCTTTATAGACACAGGTGCTGACGTATCCATAATGAAAAAAAAAACATTTATGAAAGTAAATATAAAAATAACAATTTAGATAAAAACAATACAATATTATCCGGTCTAGGCAGTAAAACAACAAAACCGATTGGAAGTATTAAGGGCAAAGTGCGTGTGGACAACATCGAAAAACAACATAGTTTTCTAATAATAGAAGATGATGTGATAAAAGTGGATGTTATTCTGGGATATAATATTACAAAAGACTTAACATTTAAATTTAACGATGGTTACGTCTTCGAAAATAAAAAATCAGAACAAATGCAGAATGCATTAAATGTTTATAATATAGACACGGTTGAAATTAACGTGGATATAAAATATAAAGATAAAGTAGTAGAATTATTTAAAAATTATAAGCCTGAGCATAATATAAAAAAATCACCAGTAGTTGAGAAAATAATAAGAATAATACCAAACGATAATTTGAAATTTTTTCATAACGCGCCAGCCAGATTACCAATTCAAGAAGAAGCTGCAGTAAACACACAAATAGAAGAGTGGTTAATAAATGGAATTATTAGAAAATCGTATTCAGAAGTGGCAAGCAGAGTGGTAGTGGTTAAGAAGAAATGCGGGTCATATAGATTATCGTCAATTAAACACAATAGTTTTAAAAGACTGTTTTCCAGTACCGATAGTTGAAGATATGCTAATGAAGTTGGGTGATGCGAGGTATTTTATTGTCATAGACTTAGAAAGCAGTTTCTTATACGTACCGATTGAAGAGGATAGTAAAAAATATATATAGAGCTTTCGTAACTAAATGGGGTTTATTTGAATTTAATAATGCACCTTTCGGGTTCTGTAACTCATCGGCCAACTTTATAAAATATATAACAAATATATTTCAAGACTTGATTTACAGTGAGGTGTTGGAATTATATGTCGACGACATGATAATCGGTGGAAAAACACCTGAAGAATACATAGAAAAGTTGAAAATAGTGCTGGAAAGAGCATTAAAATATGATTTACAATTCAAATGGACAAAATGTACATTTCTGAAGACGGGAATAGATTTTCTAGGCAATAGATCGCATTGCAAAGTGAATCGTACAAGAACTTTAAAATTAAAGGAGGACTCCTCTACAAAGGTACAAGTTAACAGTCTGTTTCATATAACGGTACTTTGCTTAAAACACACAATTTTTGTATCTTAAGAAGGTGCAAGGAAAAAACATTAAACACATTATTCCCTTTTCAGAACTCAGTAAAAGTGCTGTTGAAAAAAGAATTTCTGAGGTTTTAAATATTATTATCTTCCATTACTTTACTAGCGATTGTATTAAAATTGCTGAAGAAGACATTTCTGAGTACATATGTTACAGCAATATGTTGCAGACAGCAACTTTGTCCTACACATAAACACTAATGATTTCTTACATAGCGACAGTCTCAATATAACCGATTTTTGCGAAGATAATTTACAGGATCCTCAGGTGAATAAGTTTATCAATTTGTAATAAATAATTTTGGCTAATTTAATTAAATTTGCTTTCCAGGTATCAAAACAGTTTTTACAGCATAAACTTCCGCTTATTAATGAGTGTTATAAATGTAAAAAAAAATTAACGAATCAACAGAGAATTGATGTAGCAAAAGAGATCATTAAACATCTCTTGGTGAATCCAAATAGAATGTATGCTTCACAGTTTAACATTGCAAAAACTGGCTGAATCGATATGTGAAGTTTTTACGGAAGAACTTCCAGAAACATATTACAATAAATATTGCGAAGGATGGCATGCAAGTGGCAAGCTTCATGATGCCTACAATAACTATCGGACAAGATTAGCAGCTTCTGGACTAATTACACGAAGATCAAAATCTACCGGTAGACGTGTATTCAGGGAACACAAAAACAATAAAATTTCTACTGATAACGTAGAAGATGATATTTTAAATCTTGCAACGGAAGTTAATTTTGATGTGGCTTTGCCCCTATGGCAAAGAACCTTTGAGTTTCGATGCAACTTACTTAAAACAAATATATCAACTTCTGATTTTCTACAACAGTTTCTGATTTCAGCACAAAGTACCAACGGTAGAAGTAGTGCAGTTGCTGTCGTTTACTTGTTTTTTTTATGAAATTAATTATATTGACAAAGAACAGTGAGTCGAAAGGAAAGATTGTGTAAGCGAATTTACTGACACCATGGCAATGGCAAATGAAAAGCCTCAGCCGACATCAGAAGTGTGATGTAACTCACAATTACCAACTTCGGAACAGCATTGGCGCGAGATTATCGATCAACAAAATAAAAATTTTAGTGAGTTAATAAAAGTTATGCAGTCATCGGGTGCGAATTCTCAGAATAGCACAAATGTTACTTTGCCGAAATTCAATCCCGATTGCCGTAGCGCGGATGCGTCAGCATGGTACACAACGGCTGATATTATATTAAGTGAAAACTTTTTAGAAGAAAGTGCTCTAGTTATGGCGTTGAGTAAAGCCTTAGACGGCAGTGCCTCGCAGTGGCTTGCGCAAATTTGTTTTCCTGGAATTACGTGGCCGCAGTTTAAAGACCTTTTTATACAACGATATGAAACTGTTGAAAGAGCAGCTGCTATGTTTTTAAATGTGTTGAACAGCCGACCTACTGATGACGAGTGTCTCTCGGTATACGCTACACTCACAGAATTAATTCGTTTATAAAACGTTTGGAACAAAAAAATTACTTTTAGGTGCAACGAATTTCGTTTCTGTCAAACGTACAAAATGATTACAAATAAATGTCGTTTGAAATATAGTTGTGACAAATGAATAGACAGTTATAATTAATTCATTTGGTACAAACAAAAAAACGTTTGTTTTTCGTTTACTACAAACGAAAAATGTTTTCATTAAACACAAACGAATATTCGTTTGAAGTTCATTCTACCCAAACGAAGTTCGTTTACAGCATGGCAAAGTGAGAAAGAGATGCAAGTAAACATTTAATGTGAAATAAATATACACGCGCGAGTTACATTCTCTTATCTTATCCCTATATTAAATATTTTATTATCGTTGTTTGACCTAATCAAACAACGAAATATCTAAATTGCATCCTACTAAAATATTATTATCGTTGTTCGGCCTAACCAAACAACGAATTGTCTTATCAGAATTCGATACTTCGAATTCTCACTATAAATATAAACATTTTATTATCGTTGTTCGACCTAATCAAACAACGAAAGATCTACATTATATTTTATTATATTCTATTATCTTTAAATAAACATTGTAACTTAAAATATTATTATCGTTATTCGGCCTAACCAAACAACGTATTGTCTTATCAGGATTCGATACTTCGAATCCTCATTATAAATATAAGCAAAATTGTTAGTTATAAGTTAGTCTTAAGATTCATTTAATAAAGTGAGCATTAAACTAAAGTTTTGTGCGTTTTAATCTAATTTAATTCGCGTGTGATTTTGATATAGACACTTGGCTTTGCAAGATCAGTTATTGAAACGCATTTGCTGAGTAAAGGCCATGTTTTTTCTTAAAGTGGAGTGCAACTCAAAAAAAGTGATTATAAAATTAATAAATGACTGTGTAAATAAAATAATAAATAAAATAAAAGAAGAATTTAATTTAACAAGTGTTGAATTTTACACTGCAGATAATTTAAATATTTCACATGCAGATATTTGTGAATATATTTGGCAATAAAAAACTGACAGCAATTTCGTCATTTATATCAATTGTATGTAATATTCGTTTACATGTATTTGTGTATTTTGTAATGTGATATGGGTATGAGACCACACATATCACAAAACATTCAATTGTTCCAAATATTTTAAAGTAAACATTGACACAGTTCTATTTTGATAAAATTTATGACAAACTATTGTCAGGTAATATGAGCCTTTATTTTGTCATTACTTTGATGACAAATAACTGAGCCGCACATTGCACCATATGTGCAATATGTAAGTTAACGCCATAAATTATAAATCGCTTCACATTGTTTAGATACTCTAAGCGTTCATAGGATTAACGCTTCTAAAATGTGAAGTACTTCATAAACAATCTTAGTAATAAAATTCATATTTTATTGTCGTGCATTAAACACGCACAAATATTGTTGTGCATTAAATACGCACAAATATCAACTATTTGTTTACATTTGAATCTTCCGTTTATAGTTACTTTTAGGTTCAAGTCTTCTGTTAAAAATTATAAGTTTCAGTTTTAAGTAAGATTTCAATAAAGAATGATCATACTGATTATAAGAAATATTTTTTAAAAATAAATTGAATAAAGAATAAATTTAATTTGCATAAGTCAAAACTGTGTCAATAGAATAAACGGTTTCAAGTGAAACCATATTTACGTCGGCAGCTATCGGCCGTAGGCCATGATTAGCTAAGCCATGACTAGTAAATCTAAACTGCGCAGCTAGCGTCAGCCAATCAGAAGCCAGTCATCGTCGTCGTCGTCGTCGTCGTGTAATGTGTTATAATCTTTACCAACG